GCAGTAGTTGGAGAAGGTGAGGATCATGGGACCGAGGATTAAGTACGGTTTCTAAACCACACCTCAAACCATCTCTGACAGACAGACCCTGCACCTCACTGCCTCCCAGTTTCTCCACTGGCAAAGGGGGGTGAGCATCTGCTCTTCCTATTGTATTAGGTTGTTGCGAAAATAAACTAGACGGATTTTAAAAACTAAAAAGAAAGAACCAATCTCATGTTCATTCTAAAGACAAGCAAAACGTAAAATATAACCCAAAGGACCAAAAACAAACAAACAAACAAAACCTTTATTCAAGAAGACTTCTCCATTCTTCTCCCAACTTAACTATTCAACACACTCTGGATAATCATTTTAAGACTGCTTCAGAAATGATCAGGAAACCATATATATTCAGGTAAAAGCACCCGTAAATTTCTGACCCCCCTCCAATCCTAAAATGAAACACTGTTATGACTTAACAACAATATGCTTTGAAATACTCTGCAGACAAGTGAGCCGTCCAGTACCTTCAAAAACGGGATGACGAAAGGTCGCAGTGGGAAGTTAGTAGCTTCTTGCAGTTTGGAATGAAATTCTTCAATTGTCAAAGTAGAGTTCTGTGGAAGAAAACATGTATTATAAACACATTTGTCTCTTGGTAGATAGTAAAAAAACAACCAGATTACTACATTGCTACTATGGTTAAAACAGTGTAATAACCAGCAGACACATATACAGGAAGCAGTATTTTCAATATAATACCTTTGATAGTGTAAAAAAAAAAAATACTGCGTATTATAATTCATTGTATCATCCACCTTTTAAAATAACATCTGAAAATGGAAGACCATAAATATGGAACAAGGAGAATAATGTGCATATTTTGGTCAGAACCTTTTAATATCACCCTTTATGGGAAACTCTTTGTTTAAAAGCACAACTGATCTCATAGTGGACCAAAGGCAAGTGTCAGAATCTCAATTCACCCCGCAGGCCAGGTCTGTGTTACTGCGGGTGGAAATACTCCTCTCCCGTCCTTCCATCTCACATTCATCCTATGTCTACCACAGCATCTTTGCTCAGAATGAACAGCTAAGTTGGGTGGTGTGCTGCACTATTGAAACCAAAGAAAAAATTTGGGCCTTCTCCGATTCATGGAGTTTGAGAGACGGTGGAAAAATTCCCCAGTTATCAAAGGTATTTCCCTTAGCATAGAGGCAATGTTGATTGCTCCACCCAAGAGAGATTACAAAAGGACTCTATTCGCTCTAACCTATGCCATATAAACAAGCCCCAAAGACTCAGGGCTTGTGTCCTGCAAGGGGTGATTATACAGACAACAGCCTATTGTAAAGGTGTTGAGTAAATTAACTGTATTTGGTTCCTTTTCCTTAGTCCCTAGACAGAATTGCAACTGTAAACTCTAGTCTGAACTTCAAGCCTTCCATTATCCTCATGCCTGAAAAACCGGGGTATTTGTGACCCAACAGCTTTAGAATAGTGTTCCCCACTTTTTAGTGCAGTTCCTTTTCCTGTTATGATGAACTATGGGGTACCAAGTCCTAAGCTTTTTATATCCCCAAATTCAAAACATATTAACATGAAACTATGAATAAACACTAGCTTTCTACCTGTAATAATAGAGGGTAAGGAGCCCTCTTTTTTTTTTTAATCTTTTATTTTGCCTCTTTAGTAAATTTCTTTTAAATTTTAATGAGTTAAATATACTGGGGTGACATTAATTAATAAGATCATATAGGTTCAAGTGTACATTTTCAAGATGCAAGATCTGTACACTGCATTGTGTGCCCAATAGACAAAGTCAAATCATCTTCCATCACTATATATATCTGGGCCTCTTTACCTTTTACTAAACCCCTCCCCCCATTTTGTTTCTATGGCTCATTTTCCCAAAAGCCATTTTGGTTATGTTTTATACATTTTCTTAACTGTCTAAATAACATTATGATTTACTACCCAAGTGCAAATCGTAGGCCTATCACAATGTATATTTTACTTCTGCAAACCTCAGTTTCTCCACAGATAAAATGTGTATAAAAAGCACTACCTCAAAGGATGGCCCCAAGATTTAAATGAAACGGCTTGTATTCAATGCCCCAAACAAAACCCATTACCTAGTCATTCACTCATTTGACAAATGTTCTCTGACTGCTCTTATGTACAAAGCACTATTCATTAATGTTTTCCTCTAACTTATCTCCATATGGATTTCAGATAAATAAGATATATCTTCAAAGTATGCCGCTTAAGATGTGGAAAAAAATCTACTTAAGGCTACCAAGTTTTTTAATGTTTAAAGTTGTGAAAACCACTGTTAAAGATATATCAAATTTATATAGCAGTTGCCAAAAAAAATGTTTAATTGTTTTCTTAATACAGTTACTGTTGTGAACTTGCTTTGTGGTCCCTCAGTCTAACTTACTTAGGTGTTGAAAAGCCTATTATGCAAAACGTGAGAATGGATGAGAAGGAAAAGATAAGCGAGTGACAGAAGCAACTGCAGGATGCTGACATTCTCCTGTCACATTCACCTTCCTGTCCTGAGGGGGACAAGGTGAAGCTGATGGATTGTGGGGGACGGGGAGCTTTTGTTCTTCGAGTGCAGGGGAGAGGAGACGACATTGAAAAGTTCCACACACTTAAAAAAAAAAAAAGTTGAATTGCAACATGTCTGGCATCGTTAGGGGCCGTGATCTGAAGCATGTCTACTGCCTTAGACTCTCAGCCAGACTTCTCATTGGGGAACTTCTCTGACAGAACACAACTGGTATGGCTTTGCCCTTGGTAAATCCACGCAATAAAAACAAATGTTGTCTTTCATGAAAAAGGGAACTGCTGCCCATTATCTGGATCTCAGTTCCAGATTAGCCCGGATTCAGAACTTCTCCGTTCTCTATGGGAAAACCACCTTCCGCAATGGAAACCCTCATGTGTACATGAAATCATGGAAATGCGAAGGTGAGGTAGGGCTCTAAAAGAGGATGGATGTTCTCGTGGCCAGAGTGATCATGTATAGAATACACTATAATGTGCCTAAATCAACACTTCTACTCTCAAACTATTCATTTAAGTAATTTTACCTATACAGAAAAAACGATGTTTTTAATCAAAAAACAATTCGTGGTTGCAGGAGTTGAAGGGAGATAAAACTGGGGTGTTCTTGTTTTATGCGGACATGGGCTCAGTCTGGGGTGATGAAAAAGTTCTGGAGGTGAATGGTGCTGATGGGTATACAACAGTGAAAGCCCTTAATGCTGCTGAACTGTATGTACAGTTAGAAATCCTCAGGATAGTAAATTGTATGTTTTATATATCTTACCACAATAAACAATTCTTAATGTGATTAGCCCTAAAAATGAAAACACATACGAGGAGAATGTTACTTGTTATAAATTCTAGTTCATCATCTAGGCCCACGGTCGGCAAACTGTGGTTCTTTGGCCCCTTGAGTGTGGCTCTTCCACAAAATACAATACCACGGCCTGGGCAAGCTATTTTGAAGAAGTGGCGTTAGAAGAAGTTTAAGTTTAAAAAATTGGGCTCTCCAAAGAAATTTCAATCACTGTACTGTTGATATTTGGCTCTGTTGACTAATGAGTTTGCCGACCACTGGTCTAGGCTAATGAAAGTCCCACAAAGCAACTAAGTTAAAAAATAAAAAGCACTGAATTACATTAAGTGAATCTTTCACATACCCAAAACACTTAGTCATTGTTGAAAGAAACTTAGCCATGCCAAGAGGATGTATATATGGAACTGTAGACACACTACACATTTATGGCCAGGATAGCAATACATAAGCATATAACCATATCTTCATTAGTCAAATAGTGATAGAAACCATGGTGGGGGCAGAGGTCAACCTACAATGCAGAATTTAGAACCCTGTTCTAGAATGATCAGACTCAGACGCGACGTCTAGCAGTAAAAACCACTAGACTAAAATACCCCATAAGCAAGGAAATGGTATTTTGAAATCCCCTCACACGCGCTCCCTCACCCCAGAAAGTGGCGCTGATTTCCGTTCGCTTACCACCAGTCCTAGGACGAGGGTGCGGACTCTCTCTCCTATCTCTGGCGAAATGTCATTGCCAAACTGCTGCAGGGTGGTGAGGAAGCGCTTCAGTTTACTGAGCTGCCTGGCGCCACAGGCTGGGGGCAGCTGCTGGTTGGCCAGAGAAGAAGAGGAGGAGGAGGAAGGCCCATTGCTAAAGCCATTGGGCGGCGAGGGCGCACCGTTCAAGGCTGTGGGTGAATGGCTGGTGCCATTGGTGACTGTCAAGAGCACAAAATCAGAGAGAAAAGGTAAACGTAGAGACAAATGCACAAGAAAACGACAACCAAGTCTCCTCCCCTGTAGGCCTAGTGAATTTTCTTAAAAGCTGCTAGGTACGATATTACATTCGATTCAGGTGTAGAACCCAGTGACCAGACATTATATAACTTACCAAACGATCACCCCAATAAATCTAATGCCCGTCTGACACCATACATAGTTATTACAATATTATTGACTGCATCCACTATGTTGTAATTGAAGATTTTTTTAAAGAAATTATTTAAAGTTAAAAATAAATACAGCCCTGCTGGCATAGCTCAGTGGTTGAGTGTTGAACTATGAACCAGGAGGTCACAGTTCAATTCCCCATCAGGGCACATGCCAGGTTATGAGTTCCATCCCCAGTAGGGGGCGTGCAAGAAGCAGCTGATCAATGATTCTCTCTCATCCTTGATGTTTCTCTTCCTTCCTCTGTGAAACCAATAAAAACATTAAAAACAAAATAAACAAAAAAACTACTGGAGCTCTTTTTGTAAAACTCTTTGATTTCACAGGCTCACGCCGGCTCAGGTATTCTATAATTAAATGGGTCCACTCCTCACACTGCACAGAAGCTGATTATAAATGGAGTCGGCTGTAGCACAGAGACAGCCCTGCCGCCCATGTGCACATATGCCATCCACCTGAAATGTTTCAGATCCAGAACAAACAGCTCTTGGATGTCAGCCTTGGTCACCAGCTTACATCAGTGTAACAGGACTATTTCTTTCTCAGCTGTCCCCCTCCTGGAGAAAGTGTACATTTGGTGGAGACTAAATTTACCGCTGGACATTTTTAATCATGTTTTATACACACAAGCTGACAGCTATGTTTATAAAAATGGGACTTTCAAGCTTTAACCTTACACCACCCAATTAGAAGGCTCTTTTCTTCCCCCTCATCGTTCTTAACCCCTTCTTTAGGGAAAAGCCAGACTAGATAGGATAATTATCAGGGAGTTATTTCAAGAAATTCAAAAGGTACAACCCATTAACAGTAGTTGGTGGTAATCCGATACATTCATTTCTGATCATATTTACTTGAACATCAAGATGCTAACTGATGATGAGTTGGAGGCTACAAAGATTTACACATTTCTCCCTAAGGAAAATGTCAATTTTACGTTAAATCAATTAATTTGACAAACTGATTTTTTGCCAAACACATTTTTAAATATAGTTTTGATAAACTATCCCCAACAATAGTTTGAAGATGTTTTAGGTACTCTATTATATTCTTACAGGTTCAGGATAGTAAGAAAAGGAAAAGATGGTCGTTTGTCCTACATGAGCACCAAAGCAACCTGTCAAGAAATGACAGCTCTCCAGCTTCTCATGGGAGACACAGGCCGATCACTGTGGTTTGGAGAACAACAAAACAAATACAAGGCGACAGGGTCCCAACGTGGCAAGGCCGTGGCCTCCTGCTCCTTACACATTGGCAAAGGCCTTTTCAATGGCAATGCAACTCTGCATACACCGTTGAGGGTGTGTATTTTGTCCATCGTTTTCATCCCATGAATCTATTCTTGCCTGTTATTTTTTATGCACATAGATTTAATGGCACATTAAATACTATTATCTACAACAACTTCTTTTCTTTTCTTTTTTTCACAAACCCTTGATGACAACTTTAACCAAGACTTTGAGACAGATGAAAAGAAAGCTCCCTGCTATCCCTACTACAATATACAGGAAAGCAAGGACAGCTGAGATTCGGTCAGACTATTCTGTCCTTTCCTTGCATGGCATAGAAAGCAATGCATTCCACTGATTCAGAACAGGAGACCGAAGCCAAGATGGAATGAAGTCTGGCAGTTTCATGTCCTAGCTGGTTTGGCTCAGTGGACAGAGCGTCAGCCTGCAGACTGGAAGGGTCCCAGGTTCGATTCCAGTGAAGGGCACAGGCCTGGGTTGCAGGGTCAATCCCCAATGTGGGGCGTGCAGGAGGCAGCCGATCAATGATTCTCTCTCATCATTCATGTTTCTCTCTCTGTCCCTTTTCCTTCCTCTCTAAAATCAATAAAAATGTATTTAAAAAAAAAAAAAGAAAAGTCTGACAGTTTCACAAGAAAGATGCTCCTTCACATATGTAACACCTTAATCAATAAAGAATTTATTTTAAAAAATAATAAAAAATAAAGTAAATAATAAAAAAAGAAAGATGCTCCTTACTTCAGAAAGATTTATGTATATATCTGTTGCATAAAGTCATTTTTTTTTGTGTGTCTAAACATTAGGTTTTAAACATAGAACCTAAAAAGGTAAGATTTCAAAATTATTTGTAAGTAATAGAAGAAAACAGTATTAGAATATCAGATGTAACCCAGAAATAATTGTTACATGTTCCAAGTCAAAATGAACAGACTAAAATAAGAAGCTCCACATTAAGTCGAATTAAAAGTTATAGTGGTAATTCAGACCCAAGGTGGTGTTCTTCACTCATAGAAATGTTAGTAAAAACATTTCTAAAGGAAGCCCAAATGATAGGCAAATACTGCCATTCCTACAAATTTACCTAAGATACAGCATAACTGTACTCAATGCCTCACTGGAAAATAAAGGATTTTTTTTTTTTTGCTTCATTTCTGCACAGTTCAGTGATGCAGGATCTCCTTTCCTCATAAGTTTCACTTGCAGCAACACTTTTCAACTCCATAATGTAAACAGGATATGCGGAAATGCCTACTCACGCGTTGTTGGAGTGAAGGAACTGGTTCTTGGGGCTCCTTGAGTCGTGGGGGGCGGAGGCATGGTGGGAGGAGTCAGCCTGGACGGAGTCTTCACATCCACAGGTGAGTCTGGCATCGTGGAGTGCTTCTCAGTGCGATCTGGAGGGTGCAACGGGAACATGTTACTTTCTCAAGCACCCCAGTGCTCTACGTGGGGGGAGTCATTGGTCTCACAGACAAGTCAACGCAAGAAACCCATCACCTCCCATCAATCAAACAAGGCTGATCTGCTGAGGTTGAAACCACGACCTTATCATCTAGACCCCGCTCACGTGGGTACAGCACAGATGGCAGGGCCTCTGGGTAGCTGGGTGGCTTTCCATCCCATTGTTATTTCTAGCGCGGGCAAATGCTCCCTTCTTAGTGTTATAAACCACAGCGCAACTTCACCCAAGGCAGGAGCCAACATTGGCAAGAGGTAAAAAATAGATGAGGAAGTAAGATGGCAATGGACCCCTCCGTTCGCTTAGAAATGACAGTCATCTGAAGTCCTGAGATACCAGTAGGAGCCAGCAATGTTCACAATCCCTCTCAGCCCCTTCCCATGCCGAGTGTCCCAGCCTGGGAGTGACATAGGGTATGTATGTGTCCAGGACCTAGATCTCACGTGTTTTCTGCCCTGTTTGAACCACAACCACCCCCTCAATGGTGCATGTCACACCATGAAGGTAAGCTGTTGTTAACTTAGACGTGGTGAGTTTATGACCCATTGCTTCCAAAAAACATGAGGCCGATAATTCAATGGACAATCTCAGGTAGAGTGAGAATAAGAAAAGTCCCAAATTGAGAATTAAAAAGAACTGAAGACCATCCAGATGTTTGTCATGAGCAGGTGACAGATCGGGAGAAATTTCCTGATTACCCAGTAATGAGCATGTGCACAGGCCTGTTTTCTACTAAGTATGTTTCTCTTGAAATGTTTTTTTTTCCCCTCAGTCTAATCTCTTTATCAAATCTCCAGTAAAACAAAAAAAAAGAAATACACTGCCGAAACCGGTTTGGCTCAATGGATAGAGCGTCGGCTTGGGGACTGAAAAGTCCCGGGTTCAATTCCAGTCAAGGGCACATCCCCAGTAGGGGGTGTGCAAGAGGCAGCTGATCGATGACTCTCTCATCGATGTTTCTAACTCTCTATCTCTCTCCCTTCCTCTCTGTACAAAATCAATAAAATATACATTAAAAAAAATAAAAAAAATAAAAAAATACAAGTTTGTTTCTTTAGATCCAATTTTCCTTAAACATGGGTAGAGATGTTCTCACACACACACACACATACACACACACACACACACCCCAAACATGTTTATGGCGCCGTTTGCAGCCTTAGATACAGATATTTTGCACTCGGAGTGTTTGAAAAGTAAAATAACACATACTATTGTAAAGCATGGGTCTTTTAAAAATATGATAGCCATATGGGTACAGAGTTAATGACTCAACATAACTGAAAAGTCAATTATTACAAGAAAATGAAAAGCCCTAATTACCCCTCTGCCCATTCTAACACTACCTCACCTTTACTCACAGCAGACTCCCAAGACTTGGGTTGCCAGAGGACACAATATTTAAATGTTGAAATTATGTTAATGCCATGCTGGTGGAGGAGGTGTAATAAGAGAAAGACCATCCTCATTCGCATCCTCATCCTCCTCCTCCTCAGAAGAGCCCTCTGACGGAGGAGGATCTACCTGGTCGGTGGTACCAGTGCCTCTGGTTGGGCACCGCTAAGTGGCGCTGAGTGGCTGAGTGCTCTGAGTGAGGTGATGGCAAAGCCCGGGTGGAGGGCACTCCCACCTCTCCCTTACTGCTAAAAATAGCCTTCATAGTGCCTTTCCACATTATTTAAAAACCAGTATCAGTAGCCCTATCCAGTGTTGCTCAGTGGTTAGAGCAATGGCCTTCACAATCCCAGAGGGGTGTGGGTCCAATTCCCAGTTAGGGTAAGCGGGGCATGTACCTAGGTTACAAGTTCCATACCTGGGCCCAGTCAGGGCACATGCAGGAGGCAACCAAATGATGTATCCCTCTCACATGGATATTTCTCTCTTCCTTCTCTCTCTCTCTCTCTCTCTCTCTCTCTCTCTCTCTCTCTCTCTCTCCCTCTCCCTCTCCCTCTCCCTCTCCTTCTCTCCCTCTCTCCCTCTCTCTCTCTCCACTCCCCCTTTCGCTCTCTCTCTCTCCCTCCCTTTCACTCTCTAAAAAAAAATCAATGGGAAAACATCCTGGGCCCAGAACTAACACACAGACAAGAAAAGGGTCAGTCAAACCGTTATTCCAGAAAAAACACAGACGTTAGGCAGCTTTGGAACCACTTCTCCACTCCTTCAATTCATCCCACCATCTACTCACCTCACCCAACCTCAGCAACAGGGGGCTACCCAGCTTTCTGCTAAGGGTGCAGAGGAGGGAAGAGGGACAGCAGGAATAGAGTCTCCCTAAATAAAGGCAGCTATTCCTGCTATGCCCGGGAAGGCGGGATAAGGGGGGCCTGCCGCAGTCAGCTGGGAGATAACAGTGGGAACTGCTGGTCCATCTGGTTTTCATTCTGCTAACACTCACGCTGAGCTGTGAGAGAAGCCAGGCCAGACACACAGGGGAAGCACGTCGGGGCACAGACGGAGGAAGGAGGCGCAGGAGGAGGGGGGTGGCGGAGCGGGAATAATGAAAGAGAGTAAAGTAGGGAGAGGAAAAGGGAAGAAAGAGAGAAAAGCCCAAAACAGGGAAAAGAAATAGCCAGAAGGGGGAGAAACGTGCCTTGGACAGCTTTGTTTACCTCCAGAGCTAAGAGCTGAGCCTGTGAGGACACAGACCCCACCTTACTCAACTTGACCTGGTTCTGGAGTGATGCCTACACTTGAAAACATACCTTGAACTCATATTATTTATTTATTTATTTTTAATAAGGACAAAGAGAAATAAAGGAAGACAAAAAGAAATAAACTACAAAGATGACAGTGGGTTTCCTTTTCAAACTTTAGATCATCTTGGTCATTCTGAATTCATCTCTCCAGTGTTAGGGGGGAAAACTGATATAGCATCACTTTTATTTGAAAACGTTTTGATTATGTGACTTGGTCCGTATTTGCAACAGATCTCTCTCTAGATATCATCATCATCATCGAAGGTAGGCAACTGATTGTAAATTCTTGAAATCCCATCCATGTTTTAGGGACAATAACAAGTAAGCCATGCATAGCAAACCACCCCAACTTCTAACGGGAACGTGTCCGTTCGAGCTGGAGTCCATGTGGAGCGCTGAGCACTTGACAGGAGCCACATTGCTGAGATGGTTCGCTGTACTCTGATCAAATGGAGTTCCAGCCCAGAGGTCCTACAAACTCAGACAAAGTGGGGCCATCTGGAACTCATTCCGGCCTGTTCGGCGCAATCAAGCCGGGATGGAGATCGATGGTGAAATAACCAGTCAGGCCTAACCCTTCCACACACACACACAACTCTCTGGAGTCCGAAGATTTCAACTAAATTCAGAAAATGTGTTTCAAGTATGCTGAGTTTCTGCTGCATTTGTTTTGAGTTAAAAAAAAAAAACATTCTGAAATATATAGGCTTGTAATTTTTATGGCAAACAGTAAAAAAAAAAAGCTGATTTAACCGCAGAAGCATCTCACTCCGTTTCAAATTAGAAGATGTGCTAAAACCAATATCGTTGTAATATTTCTTATGTAACTTTTAAGTGCATGTAAGTAGATTGTTCTCGCACGTAATTTCTATTTTTGGTTCCTGTAGGAACACTGACATTTATTGAAAGATTTTTTTTTTTTCTACTAAGTAAGTTCATCTCTTAAAATTTCAAACTTTTTTCCCCCTCAAGCTAATCTCTTTATCAAAGGATATGAGAAAAACAATTTCTATCTGATCTGCAAGGTATGTGTAATCAAAAGAACTGACTTTCCTTCTACCTTAATGATTCACACCAGTTCCAAACAAGATTTTCCACATGTGGTTATTTCAACCCATATGGCATCGATCCAACACATATGTACTAAAGATGGCTGGTGCATTGAGGAAAGTGTGGCGTATATAAATACATTATGGATACCATTTCAATGTCAGGGTCGTCCACAAGTGGTATGTTTTCCATTTCCTTTTTTTTTTTTTTTTTAAGTAAAAGGGAAAAGGTATGTCATAATCTACCCTGACACTTATTTTACTTTCCGTGAGTTCAAACAGTTCCAGACATGTTTTTAAAGTATAAAGAATAGGCCATCTACACTTCCCTTGTTTACATACTACTCAAGAGATGATTAGTATAAAAAGACAGAAAGTTCAGCGTGGATAGATTGTATATCTTTCTCCATCAGAGTTTATTATGTCCATGAGGACAGCCATGCCTCAAGGTGTGATGGGATTGAGGACCTTCTTGGTCAGCTAGTCGTTAGTCCAGAGCTAGTCCTGTTGGAATACGTGTTAGTTAAGAAAGCTAGGAGGTATGCACTAAAGAGGATGAATCCCAAGCGGAACCAAAGTACTACTAAGTGAGAAAGAGAAGACAATTAGGGGAGAAAAAACACTGGGTTTAGGATTTCATTTTTGTTTCTCCAGAAAATATGGCAAACACAGTTCTGACAATACAGCCATTTAGCGACTCCAATGTTTGGGAGTGAGATGTTCCAAGAGGCTGATGGAGACCAGATGGTGGCCAGCCTGCCCCCACAACGGTGCCATCTTAGTCCCTGAGAGCACGCCGGGTAATGTGCACGCCTGCTCAGAGCCCTGCACAAAACAATGCCTGAGAATAAAAGGGAAATGCTCACATTTTAAACATGGCAACGTTATAAAGTGGGAGAGTGTTTCGCATAGTAGGAGAATTTCTAGGTTTCAAATGTAGACTCAACAATTAGTTGAGTAGTAAGGCCTCGGGCAAGGTAGTCATCCTGCACCTCAATCCCTCATAAGAAGAATGGGAGCACAGCCTGGCCAGAGTGGCTCAGTTGATTGAGCATCATTCTGTGCACCCAAAGGTTGCTGGTTCGATTCCCAATTTGGACATACAGTCAGGTTATTTATTCAACCCCCAGTCAGGGCATGTACGAACAGCTACAGAAGGCAGCTGATTGATGATGTTTTCTCTCTGGTCC